CAGACGTGTGCTCTTCCGATCTCCCCAAAACCCCAAAACCCCTTGATATTGACTTATTTACAGTCATAAAATTATAAAACATAATATTTAGATTTAAGATAAAATGAAACTAGCTATTTTCAACATAGGCCAAACTTTAATACTAAGCCAGGAGAGCTTTAATGTTTCCATCAATAATTAGATCTAAAAGATTGTGCCTAAAATTTTACAGACTCTAGATCTAAATGGATTCAATTAATACTTAAATCAAGAAATAATCTCAAATTCTGAACTTCTGATAAAAGAACTTGATAAGTTTTAAAGCAATTTTTGGGAAAAGATACAAAATCACAAGTAAGTCAAGAATCTTGAATTAGATTAAAAAGAAAGGCTATTCAATGAGGATATAGTTGAAGTATTATTAGATTAAAAAATATTTGGATTGGATAGAAATCTATTATCAGAATAAGATCTTGAAAGAATGATTAACGTATTCAAAGATTTCATGAATTAGGATGAGAATATTCACATTAATTATAAGCAAACACCTCATGCACTTACTATTCTAAAATAACTAAAGTAAGTTGGCATAATACTGGTTGGTTGTTCTAATTCTAGTATTCCAAACAAAAAAAAGCAAGCAATGCAAACTTTTGGTTTTAACATTGATGAACTTTTTGATTGTTTTATTACCTCTGGCGAAGTTGGCTTTAGAAAACCAGATCCTCAGATACTACAATTTATTCTAGATCGATACCCACAAGTTTAAAATCATGAGATAGTTTATATAGGAGATTCTTTGGCTAAGGATATACTATGCGCTCATAGGGCAGGCATTAGATCTATATTTATGTCATATTGTCCTTCAAATGTCAAATAAAACTACCAAAGTCTTGCTTCAGGGATCATTCCTGATTTTACCATTGTAGATATGCGAAGTCTTCCCTCTATATTTAAGATCATGGATGATGATGTGGCATTTATTCAGTCTTTGGGCGATCCCTAAATCATCAAGAGTTATAGAGATATATTGCAATAGCTGCCAAGTTAGAATAGAATGAGAGTGGGACTACTTTAAGATGGGGATGGAGTCAACAGAAATGATCAGTTTCACAAGACTGGTTTGCTCTTTGAAGAAAGTGATATGCAGTTCATTCCTATGAATCTAGATGATCCTTTTGAGTTGAATGGTAGATTGGATGTAATGATCAATAAAGGCCAGGATATAATAGCAGATTACTACACTGAAGAAGGGTCTAAGAAAGCAGAGAGACTAAGGAATTACATCAACTAGCATAAAATGGTTGTGATTGATTCATTGGAAGGAGCTATGAAACTATAGAGCAGAAAAACATTTCTAACTATGGTAGGAGAGATGATCAATGAGATTAAACAGTAAAACCCAGGCCACCTAATATGTGAAAAGCTCAAATAAGCTAATTTTTTCTGTCTTAAAAATGATTTCCAAGATTAAGAGAGCGTCTTCGAGTAATATAAAGAGTAAGCTGCTTTACAGGAGCTGAAATATCCAATAATTGTCAAAATACTGTAGGCTTCCAGAAATTCTTATTCTCATAACTTCTATGCAGTAAGTTCAGATGCTGGATTGAGAGAGTCTTTGGCTTATAAGGGCTTCAAGGATGAAATTCTCATCTTCTAAGAGCTTTTAAAGCACTAAGAAGTATTTCATAAACTCTATATAATTGGGGAGGTGTACGATGTCGCTGTAAAGAGGTCTATTCCTCATTTGCTAGTGACATCTGGAGATTACTTCTTTTTCCAAACTAAGATGAAGTTTGATTAGTCCTCCTATTAGACATTTGAGAAAATAAATTCTTTCGAGGATTAGTATGTAAGCATTATAGCAAAAGCATTAGTTGAGAAGTATGAGTTGCAGTTGATTGGAGCTGATATACTGATTGAGGAAGATACTGGCGATTTATACATTATTGATGTCAACTACTTCAGCAGCTATGAAGATTTGACTGATGAAAAAGTAAGGAATTCTTTCAAAGATCTCATAAGGAAGTTGAACTACTAGAATAAAATTTCTCAATAGTGATTATTTATTTCTTGAACTTTAATATTGAGATTATGGAACTATGGGGTTTTGGGGTTTTGGGGTTTTGGGG